TTTAGAAATAAATAGCTATTTATTCCGTATGTTGAAGAGGTATCTGCACTTTCATGTTTATTGCACTGTTTACAACAGCCAAGATATGAAATTAACCCAAGTTTCCATTAATGGATGAATGGATAAAGAAAATGTGGTATACACGTACACAATGGTATACTATTCAGCATAAAAACAAAACAAAATCCTGTCATTTGTGACAATATGAATGATCCTAGAGGACAGACATCATGTAAAGTGAAATAAGCCAAGCACAAAAGGACAAATACTGCATGATCTCACTTGTATGTGGGGAATCTGAAAAAGCTGATCTTACAGAAGTAGAGAATAGAACAGTGGTTAACAGAGGCTGGGGAAAAGAAGGCAGGAGAGAAGGATGGGGAGAGGTTGGTCAACAGGTACAAAGTTACAGTTAGATAGCAGGAATAAGTTCTGGTGTTCTATTACATAATAGGGTGACTACAGTCAATAATAATATATTGTATACTTCAAAATGGCTAGAAGAGGGGATTTTGAATGTTCTCACCACAAAGAAATGATGAATCTTTGAGGTGATAGATATGCTAATTGCCCTGATTGATCATTACACAATGTATTTATGTATCAAAACATCACACTTTACCCCAGAAAAATGGACAGTTACATGTCAATTAAAATAAAACTTTAAAAATAGCTATTTCTATATTTTACCTTGAATATATTTAGTTAAGAAGCACAGATTCTCTGCCAATAGTAATTACTTCTACGGCATAGGTTGGGGTTAAAAAAAGGAGGGGGAGCACTTTCACTTTTTACATTTCTGAATTTGAAGTTTTTTTTATTCCACTAAGCATTTGTTATGTTTGCAATTTAAAAACAAAATAAAATATTCTGCTTCTATTTACAAATTTGGTTTTAAAATTTCACAGGGCCATTTTGCATGGTTATCTGGATATCTGAAATTCTTATTCAGATTTATCTCATTCGATGTCAAGGGAAACACTGATTCTAGAATTTTCTGGATATGTTTATATTTGTTTGGATACTTCTCATAAATCATATACTGGGGTTCAGTTTTCATATAAGATTAGAATACTTAGGCCAAGTCTTCTGTTACTACACTGTGATTTTCCTTGTCTCTTTCCAAACATAGGTTCCCACAATTGCAGACAAACTCTTTGATGGGACATAAACCAGCATAACAGGTTTCAACAACTTTCTTCAATACAAAGCTTTTGTCTCCTCGCTTATTTCAAAACCTAACACCAGCCTCTTTTAAGGAATTTTTCCAGACCAAAGGTTGATGACTGACAATAAAGGCAAAGCATTCCCACTTAATTTTACCCAACACACCAGGCCCTAAAAGCCGGGGGTGGGAACAGGGAGAAAAACTAATAGATAAATATAATAAAAACTACTTCATGTAGAAACAACTGACTTATCCATAATCAAATCCCACATCTGCCTTAGAAAACCCTGGTAGATTCTTGGCCTTTTTTTCAGTTGTAAGACTCTCTTACTAATTTTTACAGCAAATCCTTTTAGCAGATGTCTGGTAACGTGATCAGTATTTGGGTTTAAGAAGATGACGACAACCTTTTGAGATCCTGTCACCACATTGTTACATCATGTGTAATAAAACCAATAATACTGACATTTTCCCCTTAAGGTATTAACTCTCATCTACCTGAAGATAACCAAGATAATCTCTTGAGGTCCTCGCTAACACTATTTTTCCTTGATTCTATTTAATCAACATCTTCACAGGTGTTTGAGTGGTAGATATAAAAATTAGTGAATTGGGCAGGCATGGTGGCTCACACCCGTAATCCCAGCACTTTGGGAGGCTGAGGCGGGTGGATCACGAGGTGAGGAGATCGAGATTGAGACCATCCTGGCTAACAAGGTGAAACCATCTCTACCAAAAAAATACATTAAAAAAAAAAAAAAAGAAAAAAAATTAGCTGGGCATGGTGGCGGGCACCTGTAGTCCCAGCTACTCAGGAGGCTGAGGCAGGAGAATGGCGAGAACCCAGGAGGCGGAGCTCGCAGTGAGCCGAGATCGCACCACTGTACTCCAGCCTGGGCAAGACAGCGAGACTCTGTCTCAAAAAAAAAAAAAAAAAAATTAGTGAACTGGTTAGGCTGGGCGCAATGGCTCAGGCCTGTGACCCCAGCACTTGAGAGGCTGAGGCGGGTGGATCACTTGAGCTCAGGAGTTTGAGACTAGCTCGGCAACATGGCAAAACCCCATCTCTATAAAAAATACAAAACAAATTAGCCTGGCGTGGTGGCACGCACCTGCAGTCACAGCTACTCAGGAAGCTGAGGTGGGAGGATCACCTGAGTCCAGGGAGGTTGAGGCTGCAGTGAGCCATGATCATGGCACTGCACTCCAGCCTGGGTAACGGAGTGAGAACCGATCTCAAAAAAAAAAAAAAATAGTGAATTAGTGCCTCAAAAGGAAAAAAAAATCATTTAATGTATTTCTAGCCTATAGATAGTAACTGGGCTAGTGCTGCAACTTGGCCTGGTGCTTCAGCTTGTTCATATCATGACACACTTGCAAATTAATGCATTTGTCTGACACACTAGGTTAAGCAGATGAAGCTGTTTGGGGCTAGAAGTTACTAGCCAGACATGAGAAGACAGGTGCTCAAGAAGTCTCAGGCCCCACTTGGCTATCTTACCCTAGGGCTGAGGGGCTCAGCATCTTGAAGCTAACAAGTAGCTCATTCTCGGCACACTGGTTCAGAAGTTTAGTCTAGCCCATCAGTACTCTGAGTATTTGCCCCATAAAGCAAGCAGGTAACCAACACCAAATTCAGACAAATCTGCTGGACTGTTTTCCCATAGAGTCAATCAGTTACTGGCGATCATCATCAAACTACCAGATTTAAAGAGTGTGTGTGTGTGTGTGTGTGTGTGTGTGTGTGTGTTTGCATGGCAGGTGGAGGGTGTTCTGGATGAATTCTACCCTCTCTTTCAGCTCCCACTCTCACTTAGGAAGGACTTCTCTTTAGTATCAAATTAAGAGAAAGTGCTATGAAGCATAAAAAATGTAATAGACACAGATTCTGCCCTCAAGGAAACCTCTGTCCTTGGAGATGAAAGAGACATTTACATAAATATGTACTTGTTGAATGAATAAAAAAATTGGCAGAATCAGGTTAAAAGTGACACTTTTCAGAAAAAAGAGCTATAAAAAATTGCAGTGGAAATGGGGCAGGAAAAGTTCCCCTCTGGATAGGTTAAAGAAGTCATAGGAGAGAAAAGCACTGATACCAACTTTTTTTTTTTGGAAACAGGGTCTTGCTCTGTCACCCAGGCTGGAGTGCTCAAGAAATCTTCCCGCCTCAGCCTCCCCAGCAGCTGGGACCACAGGTCCCAGGGTCTTTACACCTGGTGGCAGAGACAGGGTCTCACGATGTTGTCCCGGTCAGTTCTCAAATTCCTGGGCTAAAACAATCCTCCTACCTCAGCCTCCCAAAGTGCTGGGATTACAGATGTGAGCCAACATGCCCAGGCCAATACCAACATATTGAAAGGAGCCTCTATGGCACTCAAGTATCCACCCAAAAGAAAGGAAGTAAAATATCTGACAATTTAAAATTTACAGTTTGTAAGCAAAACCCTGGTTTACAAAAAGGTGGGGTTGGGGGCAATGGGAAAATGAAGGTTGGAATTATAATTAAAATGCAATTTTACAAGAGTTATGTAGAGGGTTTTTATTGCTTTTTTCACCCCTCATTGCATCAGATCATCGAAACCCTAAGTAATATTACCCCCTTTAAAACAAACCACTTCGCCTACAGAAAAGCGATTCTGGATCACATACCAGTTCCTGCCATCACCCTTCAGTTGTCAGCTTAGACATTTTCTTTCCCAAAGGAAGCTTTGGCCTATTACCAATGTCAGGAGTTTAGTAAGTGGTGTGGTATCCCACAGAATCCTATAACCTGCTTTGGTGAAGTCTGTTTCCGTTTTACCCAATCAACGGGTCTGAAAATAGTTGGCTCTTTTGCGGCTCTGAATTCCACTAAATGCTTGAGAAATTCACATGGTCACTCTCTGCTCCTGAAGCTGACAGGGCCTAAAAGTCATTGTTGGGAAGCTGGGCCAGGGCAACCCCATCTCTTCTTGAAAGAAAAATGTCCTATAGTCATTCCTATCTGTCACCAGCGAGTAAGGAGCCTCTGCCTCTCAGCGTCCTCAGACAGGGGATGAGAGTAAAATAAAAGAAATCCTGCTCTGAAAAATACTTTAACTAGAGGTACACTGTGGAAAATCATAGTTCTGACATTAGTATTAAATTATCACACAAAAAGATCAATTACACAAAAGACAGGCATTTAAAAAACCGAAGTCTAGAAAGTTGCCCTCCTGTGTGTACCTGTTTATGTCTTATTACTGGGACTGCAATGATGTGGCTTTGAAGAACTTTGCCAAGCATTTTTTCATCAATCTCATGAGGAGAGGCAACAAGCTGAGAAACCGATGAAGCAGAAGAACCAACAAGGTGGCAGAATCTTCCTTCAGGGTACTAAGATGCCAGACTGTGACATCTGGCAGAGTGTGCTGAACGCAATGGAGTGTGTGTGACCCTTGGAAAAAAGCAAGAATCTGACTCTACTGGAACTGTGCAAACTGGCCACTGACAAAAACGATCCCCCCTTGTGTGACTTCAGGGAGATGCGCTGCTGGAACGATGAAGTGAAATCCATCAAAGAATTGGGTGACCATGTAACCTACTTATGCAAGATAGGGGCCCCCGAATCTGGTATCTTCTGGCCAAGCACAGTCTGGGAGACAGTGATGACAAGAGCTAAGCCTTAGGCTGGCTTCCCCATAACCACAGGGTGACGTCCCCAGTCACCAAAGCAGTGCCTACAGGTAGGGGTTAATTTTAGCCATTGTATAAATTGTAGAAAAACTTCCACTTGAATTCTTTCATTTGTATTATTCCTTAACATAAAATAATTCAGTACCCCCAAAGAACAAAATAAAACTGTGAGTGCTACCTGCCATCAAAGAAGAAGAACTTCCCCCGTCCGTTCTTTTCTCCATGAACAAAGTTCCCCTCAAATCTGTCTGTGGAGGAGTAGGTGACTGTGCAGAACCCGTGTGGTAATCCGTCATCATCCAGGTGTCCTGGAGAAAGGGAACCACAAGGCAAACCTTAACATCGTCAGTGCTCCTCCTATCTGACGTCTAAGCATTCAGATGCTGCAAGGCAAGTCCCCTGCCCAACTCCCCTCCAGCTGCCAAAGGGTCCCCTCCCTGGCATGAAAGGACATCAGCGTGCAAAGGTTTCTCACCTCATCGGCACCAGCAGTACCAAACTGATTGTTACGTACACTTGTGAACTTATAGGTCCAGAACAGACTTAGACACATTCCAGAATATGAACTTTAAATAAGCTTGCTTTTTACCTGGAACTGAGAGTCATTATCAGTAATATCCTCTGCAGGGCACGTCACAATTTACCAAGTACTCTCCCGAGAGTCCTCATATTTGGAATTGATGCCTCCAATCTCTCATGCTTAACTGAAGTGCGGTTGAGATTCCACTGTTTTATAGTCAATTGCCACATACGCAGTCATTGGAATAAATTATCTAATTCTAGAACATTAAGTATGCAATATGATTTTATATATCATTCTATAATATGATGTGGAGGACTGCTAGCCAGTCTGAAAATCTCACTGTTATTGTTATATTCACACGAAGGACACAGTCATATCTTTAAAACTACCCTAAGAGTTATACAGCTTATTGTACAAACACAGAAACCTGGAGTCCTTCTCACCTTAAACTTGAGCTTAACCTTAAACCTACTGCTTTACTTTACAAAATCTTCAGCTTTGAATGTTTAGTAATAACCTTATCATACACCTTCCACCATTGTGTGTCAGAGGGCTTGTATTTTAAATGGAGCCAGAGTATGCACATGGTCATTTAAGCAATGATTGTGATTATCAGCAGAAGTTATTACATGGACCTTTAAGTCACTGGTTCTTCCTAGGTCAAAGATTGGTATAGTTTAATATTGACATTTACAGTTAATGTTTACACTTTTTATTACTATCTACATGTTTTACAAAACCCAGGAATCACCTTATTGGTGTCTTCCCAATCATTCTGGTGAGCTGATTTTGCAGAGGTGGGTGAAAATGAAGGCAGTAGTTATTTTACTGGCTTTTTCTTGGGGTAACAACCTGGGCCATGGAGAGAAAAGGCATGAAAACATTAAACACTGTGTCTAATGCAGGGACATTAAACATCGAAATGTAGCTTCCAGATGGCTCACAGACATAAAAGGAAACACAAACCATACTACCACAATGAAATATTTAGTCTCCTAAAATAATTTATTCTAACATGATAAAGGAATATTAGCCCTTGGAAAAGATGGTAAGTACACACTCTCATAAAGAATAAATATGCGGCCGGCTGTGGTGGCTCACGCCTATAATCCCAGCACTTTGGGAGGCTGAGGCGGGTGGATTACCCGAGGTCCGGAGTTTGAGACCAGCCTGGCCAACACAGTGAAACCCCATCTCTACTAAAAATACAAAAAATCAGCCAGGCATAGTGGCAGTCGTCTGTAATCCCAGCTACTCAGGAGGCTGAGGCAGGATAATCGCTTGAACCCAGGAAGCAGAGGTTGCAGTGAGCCAAGACTGTGCCACTGCACTCCAGCCTCGGCAACAAGAGCGAAACTCCATCTCAACAACAACAACAAAAAGAATAAATATGCTTTTTATTTGTATTATTAATTACATAAACAAAATAGCTGCAAACAAATACAGTGTTTTATTGCTACATCTGACTCTGTATATAATGGGTTACCAAGAACATCTTACAATAAGACACATCTACTTAAATAAATCATAATCAGTATGGATCCCTTCCTCTTAACCCAAAAGAGGAAAGGACCAGGAAATTAATGGTCAGAAGGGAACTAGGCCATAATTGCTTTCTTCTCGCTCAAAAACTAACTGTACATGACATAAATTCAATGACATTTGAGTCATATGAAATCACTTGGACAATTATTTTCTAAATATCTGATGCCATTTCTCTCATTGAAATAAAGTAAATTTGCTTTTCTCTTTTCATTAAAAAAAGCCACTCAGTGTATTGCTAAGAGCTTTTTTTAGTGAAATGTTGTTGCGATCAAGTTAAATTTAGGCATATAAATTCAGTGTCCTACTTTTGATTTAGGTATTAATATCCAAATAATCAGTTTAGCCTCATACTAGAGCATTTATTAACTTGTTGAAAATGCTTTCATCATAGAAAACAGTCCTTGGAGGATAGTACTGATCCCAGTTGAGACGACAACAAAAATGTCAACTCCACTCCATGAAGAATCTTTCCTTCCTTCCTTCCTTCCTTCCTTCCTTCCTTCCTTCCTTCCTTCTTCCTTGCCTCCCTCCCTCCTTCCCTCCTTTTCTTCCTTTCTTACCTCACTCCCTCCTTCCCTCTTTCTCTTCCTCTTTCCTTTATTTTTCAGAGACAGGGTCTCACTCTATTACTTAGGCTGGAGTGCAGTGATGAGACCATAGCTTACTGTAACCTCAAACTTGTAGGCTCAAGTGATCCTTCTGCCTCAGCCTCCCATGTAGCTGGGACTTTAGGTAGACATCACCACAACCGGCTAATTTTTTTTTTTTTTTTTGAGACAGAGTTTCACTCTTTTTGCCCAGGCTGGAGTGCAATGGTGCCATCTTGGCTCACTGCAACCTCCGCCTCCCAGGTGCTAGCAATTGTCCTGCCTCAGCCTCCCTAGTAGCTGGGATTACAGGCACCTGCCACCACGCCCAGCTAATTTTTTTGTATTTTTAGTAGAGACGAGGTTTCACTATGTTGGCCAGGCTGGTCTCGAACTTCTGACCTCAGGTGATCCACCCACCTCAGCCTCGCAAATGGCTAATTAAAAAAATTTTTTATAGAGACAGGGTTTCACTGTGTTGCCCAGGCTGGTCTCAAACTCCTGAGCTCAAGTGATCCACCCACTTTGGGTGCTGGGATTACAGGCAAGAGCCACCACAACTAGCCTCAATGCCTTTCAACAGGCAAATGAAGAGGAGCCTTATCACCATCTTAATCTCTTGGGAGAGACAAGGACAGGGGAGAGCTACCAAATGATGGCCATTACTCTGGTGACCTTGCACATTAAGGAGGTGCTTGGACGTGCGACCTCTCCCTGTCATTCTAAAGGCTTTTAGATTGCTGGTTGTGAGAGAGTTCTGAAATCTATTAGACTACAGCAGGAGCCCCTTCCTGGTTTGTTTTGTTTTCTTTACATCCTTAGGGTGTGATCAATTAAAGGAACTAGAGATTAAGGGTTGTGATCATTCAAGACTTCCACTCTGAATATTTAGCATCCTGGAGTAGTTTTCCTAGCAGTAGAACTTTATACCTAAAACAGCAGCCACAACCAAAACAGTAACAGAGACTTTCCATGAGAAAGAGAAGAGACTGCGTTGCAGTGCTCTTACATCTTCTTTCAACATTAGTGCTAGAACAGAGTCTGACATAACTCTTTTTCAAATGCCAATAAGATCATGTAATATTTGGACAATAAGATCATGTAATATTTTGTCATGTCAGTAAGTCCATTTAAAACGCACAGGTTCTGATAAACAGAGGAGGATAAAAAGTGTACGAATCTACTATGATCTGGCATTGGGTAATATGCTTTCCTGTTATCAAATGCAAGCCTCAAAACAGTCTCCCATATTCTCATCTTACAGATGAAGACACTAATGCTTTACAAGACTTGCCCAAGTGCCGGGCGCGGTGGCTCAAGCCTGTAATCCCAGCACTTTGGGAGGCCAAGACGGGCGGATCACAAGGTCAGGAGATTGAGACCATCCTGGCTAACACGGTGAAACCCCGTCTCTACTAAAAAATACAAAAAACTAGCCAGGTGAGGTGGCGGGCACCTGTAGTCCCAGCTACTCGGGAGGCTGACGCAGGAGAATGGCGTGAACCCGGGAGGCGGAGCTTGCAGTGAGCTGAGATCCGGCCACTGCACCCCAGCCTGGGCGACAGAGCGAGACTCCGTCCCAAAAAAAAAAAAAAAAAAAAAAAAAGACTTGCCCAAGAGACATTACCACTTTGAGTGTGCTGATGAATACTGAAAGCCCCTTCTCCAAATCCTTTAATTGCCATTCTAGACACTGGCAAACTAGTTGAACACACTCTTCCTTGGTGATGGTAAGAAGGTACCTCTGAAAAGGTAGGAACCCCCAGGTCCCCGGCAGGGAAGTGGAAGAAGGATTTGTGGCGAAGATCATTCAACCACCAGATTTCCAACAGCATATCCCGGTTGCAAAGTCTTATCTCTTCCAAGTGTTATCTAACTTGAAGGGAAACACTAGTCCTCCTTGCTCTGCATGAGGTCAATTTGTAAAATGCGCCAAGTCAGCCAACAGCCTTCCAGGCGAGTTCCCACTGAACACAGGCTGAATACCAGTCCCAAGCAACAGGGAAAATTAACTTGAATGACTGCTCTGTGTTTATAAGGGTGCCCAGGCTAATGTTCTGTGTTATCTGTCTGTAGCATGATTTTAAATATTTACAGAAGTTAGAGAAAGGAAAAAAAGTATCAGTTCACAAGTCTACTTTTTCACTTTGTTCTATGATTATTATCTATTGAATAGATAGAAAGTTCCAATTTTCCCCTCTAGTTACTTCTGAGGGAGCTTCTTCCTGAATCTGATAAGAGTCAGGCCTATATTCTAAGCAGCAATGTAGATCTCAATCTCAGCAAAGTAAATTCCCTCTGGATCAGACACCCAGCTGCTTAATGTCTCAGGCTTACTCACAAGAGATCTGAGAGTGGTGTGCAAGTAATTCCTTTAGAACCAGAGACCCTACACACATACCGTTGGTTTTGTAGACTAGAACATTGCTTTTAAAAACCAACAATAATAGGCTGGGTGCGGTGGTTCATGCCTGTAATCCCAGCACTTTGGGAAGCCAAGGTGGATCTCTTGAGCCCGGGAGACCAGTCTGGGCAATACAGTGAGACCCCATCTCATTAAATAAATACATAAATAAATTGAAAAACAAAAAACAACAATAATAAAAGGCAAGCTTATTCTGTTTAATGCAAAGAACATGCCCTCCTTGTGATGCATTCAATCACTGACTCTTTAAAACATAGCTTGACGTTTTGGTCTTTTAAATTTTTTTTTATTTTTTTAGGTTTTTCAAAAAATTATTTCAACTTTTATTTTAGATTTGGGGTTATATATGCAAGTTTGGATAATTTTATTTTTAAGGGTAATTGTTGGCAAGAGTTCAACTATTAGTTGTGAGGGTCATAATTTTAATGTGTGGCCCACACAGAAAGGGTGCTACCAATACACTTTGTATGCATTTTTCCTAGATACAGGGCATGAGCAGTCTTAGTAGAGACAGGCAGAATCTGATATTAGGGGAAGTGTTAATAAAAAACAATCTTAATATTTTGAGGGGGTTGTGGCAGTGGAACACTGAGATGCTTGTTTTCATTCTGGTCCCTTGTTCTGATATTTCCTCCTTTTGATCATTCTTCCTCCATGTCTCCTACATATTTCCAGGCCCTTCTGTTTTTCCTGCCCTCATAACTGCGCATCTGGACCACTGCAAAGAGATTTCAAGGTACCCCACCTGCTGTGTCAGTCCCTCTGACTGTCCTGCTGGCCACTGCCTGTTAATCTTCCCGGAGTGGAGTCCTGATCCTGTCATTCCCTTTTTTAAAGAGCCCCCACGGCTTCCATGGCTTCCAGCACACAGTCCATGCTCTCTCAGCCTGTGATCCAGCCTCCCTTCCCTGTCTTCCCCTCCACTTTTCTCCGTGTAAGCTCCCTGTTGCAGTGAAACCGAACGACTGTTCTCTGGGCACACCCGCAGAATTCCATGCCTCCGTGTCTTCACTCACAAAGTTCCCCTCTCAACCTGACTCAGCTCTTCAGCACCTCTTCTGGAAAATCTTTCCCCTTTGACTTCTCTAAGCTGAACTAATTTTTACTTCCTCTCAACCATCACCATTCATCTGTATAGATATATTTCTTTGAAATTATATTAGAGACCACATCATATTCATCTTTGTATCTATGGGTAGACAAAGAAATAGATGCTATAATAAAATTCTGTTCCCAGATGCCCAGAGGAATAACACTGGAAAACCAAACATCACTCTTCACTGAACCAGTGTGTCTCAAAGTGTTTTCCAAAAGCCATAGCAGAGCTCAGGTGGAGCTCTGAGGCCCTCTGAGGCCCAGGGCTTGCTGCCTCCCCACAAGAGCACAGCCAACACAGTACACAGAACACTCTCTCGACACAGCCTCCGCCACTCCCCTCACCTCAGGGATTTGTCCACCCTGAGTTCAGAACTTCCCCAGAGTTACAATCATACCCTGAAAAAGAACTAAATGCACATGATATACAAGACATTTAAACTCAAGTCCTGAAGAGACTAATTTCTTCCCCAGAGTAAATCTCTAATGAAGAAGGAAAAAGATAGCTATTGCAGAGGACACAGGTTAAGTTCTTTTTCCCCAAATGCATTTTTCTGAAAGTCACTGAACTCTATCAGAACCAACCTCTACAGAGTTACAGTGACAAAAAAAAAATAGCACTGACATAATATTTAACTGTCGCTTCCAAACTCAGTTATCGAGTGTTTCATAAATTTGACTAACTCATTAAAAATAAAAAATGTAGGAAGACAGTTTGGTCTGGTGGAGGGCCGTTTTGGAAGTCCAAGCCAGTCTCTCCACCTCACTGAGTGTTCTTGGATTAGTCCTTAACTTCTGTATGCCTCAGTTCCCGCCTCTGTAAAATTAGGATAACATTAGTACCCACCTCATAAGACTGAATAAGACTGAATGGATAATGTCTGTGAAACACTTAGCACACAGCCTGCACTTAATAAGAACTAAACAATTATAGCAACGATAATAATAGCTATGACAGTGAAACTACTGAGAACAGAGGCTCTGTTTATGGAAAGAGGTAGATTAGTTGGTACTTAAACACTAAGATATTCAGACTAGCTTCTCTTTGGGAAAGAGCAGAAGCAGTTTATACCAGTCCCCTGTGTAAGTGTTAGATGTTATGTAAAGACTATTGCAAACAGCACTCACAAGGCCAAGAATGGCTGGACAAGAGTGCATGGCACAGGTACAGTTTACTGCATGTGCACACACACACTCCTGGCACTGTGCAAGTTAGAGCCTGAGATGCTTCTAGGGGCTTTTAAAGATTCTGTGCTGCTCTAATTGTTTAGTTAGCTACAACTGAGTGACCATGTGTCCCAGATTGCCCCAGACATTCAAGGCTTAAGCTACTTGTCCCAGCATCATTATTAATAGCCCCTCTCATTCTCAAGGGGGCTCTGATTTTGGACAATAATGTGGATGATTACCCTCTAAAACAAAACCATCCCTGTTTATGTAAACTTCCCTGTTTTCGAATCCAGTGGACGGTCTCACAAAAACAATACTGATACATTTCTAAAGCTCTTGGTCACAGTCTGCAAAGGAGCCTGAGGACTGTGGACAACTGGACATATGTTTGTAAACAGCTTCAAAGGGGAATGAATGTGGTTTAACACGGAGAACAGTACCAGCAATCAAGGGTTTGTATTTAATTTTTACAAGTAAAAGTAAACGTTGAAGAAAGAAAGCAAACCCTAACAATCTGAGATCATTTTTCCTTTATCTTTCACAACATGGAGACACAAGAAGTCAACAACTTTTAACTTCTGAGAAGGCTCCCTGTGGATCAACTCAATCAATGTATCTGGGCTCCAGTCAGCCCCAACATGGGCTTTATTTATTAGAGAGATAAATAGCTCTGTGAGTTCACAACATGGTGAAAATGTTCTTAACAAAAACCACACACTCTTTAATTGGCTTCGAAGTTAGATGAAGAAATAAGTTTTAATGTTGGCATTATATTGAATACTTTTCAAGAGTTCAGAAATGTTAGTCTGCTTAATCTCCCCTGAAGACCTCAGAAGCACTGCAAAGGGAATTATGTTTATGAAAACATTAAAACTGATTTTTCCCAATGTAACAATAACCATGTATCCTTGTGCATTTCTAGTGTTGCCACTTTTTTCTTTATCTTTCGTCAGAACTTGTGTTTATACAAATCAGACAGAAACCAGATTCAACAAACAGCTAAAAATTATTTACTCACATGCTTGGTTTAAAACATTCTGGTATCATACCACACCACACTGAAAAACATCACGACGTACTGTATGTAGTGGAACCAAATAAATACACTAAAGAGTATTTTCCAGTATTCGCTGTTACAAAATCATAACATCCCATGATACAAACAACGAGATTGTATAACGTCCCCACATCGTTTTTTCAGAACTAGCAAAAAAAAAAAAAAGGTGGAGAAACTCAGCAAAACAAAGTGGCGAGAAAAGTCGGGGGAGGGGCGGTAGAAGAGAAGGGGCGGAGAAACACGACACCGAGGCGGTGATATCACCCACAGCCAACGGCATGGAATTCAGAAAGTTAAGTGTCACCCAGCAATTTCGGTGCGGGCTCGCGGCGCGCCTGCACAGCGTGGCGGCTGCACCCCGGCGAAGCAGGAAGGGGGAGGGGAAGGTCTGACTGAGTTCGCTCGGGGGCAGCGGAGGGGAGGGGCGCCCGCCTCCCGGACGGCGCGCGTTCGAGTCCCGGGTCGGGAGCCTTGTCGGTCGCCCGACAATGATTTCATCTTTTCGGAAGAGCTGCCGCCTGGGCCGCGGCTGCCACGTGCCCGGTCTGGCCCCGTGCGCTGCGCCGGGGGACCTACCCGGACGCGGCCGCGGCCGCCGCGGGGCGCAGAGGCAGCAGAAGGAAAGGGCTGGCGGCCGGGAGGGGATCCGGGTGGCCAAAACTGGGCTAGGGGATTGCTCCGCGGAGTCCGCCGGCCTCAAGCGGCTGCCCTGCGGAGTGCACCCACCCTCCGCGCCCGAAGGAGGAAAGGCCAGAGCGCGGGGCAGGTTTCGCAACTCCGAGGGTGGATGCAGGCTGTGGCCGGGCGGGATGGAGCGGCCGTGCCTTTCCAGCGCCCCCGGCCTGGCAGAGCCCCATTCTCGGCCTGCGCCCCGCCGCGCAGTGCGCGCTCCCGGCGGCGTGACCGTGGCTGTCGGGCCCCCGCCCGAGCCGGGCAGCCGGCCACCCGTGTAAGGGACAGTGGCGGCCGCGGGGCCCGGCGCCACGCCGCTTGCAGCCCGCCACTCCTTCCGCGCTCCGGGCCCTCTGCACCTCCTCCCCCGGCCCTGGAGAAATGCTTGTACCTTCCACCGCCTCCTCCACCATCTCGTCGTCGCTATCCATGGCGGCTGGGGACCCTGCCCAGCTCGGGGCTGCGCGGCTGCCTCCCGTCCCTCCGGGTGCTCCTGGCTGCTGAGCGAGCTCTGGGGCTCGCGAGTTTGGAGGAGGAGGAGGAAGAGGAGGAGCAGTCGGGGCTGACTCGCACTGCCTCCCCCTAGAGCCCTTTCAATTCCTTGGCCTTCAGCTGCTGCGGCAGCAGCCGTCGTCCCCCCTCCCTTCGCCCACTTGCCCCTCGCCTCGGAGGCTCCGGTGTGCCGCCTTGGCCGCTGCAGCTGCTGCAACTTTCTCCCGTAATACCCCCTCTTTGTTATCGAGCAGCTGATCCGCTGACATCACCCAGCGCCGGTGCGCTCCCTCCCTCGCTGATTGACAGTTCCCTGTCCCTTTCCAGAAGTAAGGCTCCTTAAAACGAAAGGCGCTCCGAGGCCGAGCGTATTCCGCGTCCCAGCCAACCCGCCTCTGGCCCGTGAGCGTTTCTCCTTTGCTTAGGTGCGGCTTGGCGCGCCCCGAGCGCGCAACGCGGTCCCGGGCGCTGCGGGCTTCTTCCGGACACTTGGACGGCCCGTGGGGGCTCCGAGCTCCCGGCCTCCAGTTGTGCCGGGCGCAACTTGAAAGTCCGCCGTGCACTGTCCGTGCCCCCTCGAGACAACCTCCAAAGTGCCAGGGAAGCTAAGGAAGCGTTTCTGACGCTCTGGCGCCTGGACTTCCTCTCACCCTCGCCCCCACATCACCCCGTTCGCCACCGGGAGCTGCACGAGTGCGACACGCACGGGAGCGCAGGTGTCCTCGCGGTCCCGCATCACATCCGCAAGCCGATTTCCCGAGCTCGGGGGCTGTTATCTGGCCCGGATTCCGCAGGATGGCGGGTCCACCCCAGCGCCCCCACTCCCCGCCCTCCTTCGGGTCGCCAGGCCCTCGGGTGATTCAGAAATTCATCAAATCCAAATGGCAGCGGGCTCTCTGTCAGGCAGGAAACAAGCCGCACCGAAGGCTCGGCAGGTTCCTTCTCGCGGCTGTGGTAATTGAAAAGGAGCCGCCGAGTGGAGCTAACGAGGAAGGAAGGACCCTCCGTCTGGCGCGCCTCTTTCCCGCGCCTCCCGCCCTGTACGTGTGATGTCCCCAGCTGTCTCCCTGTTTCTCCAAGTGCCAACCACTTCACAGATTCAGGCGTCCTCAAGTGGAGAAAACCACTGGGCACCCGGCTTCCGGCCCAGCCACTTAGTGTCATTATGGCGCTGCCTCTTACAGGTGGCGGTAAAGGACGACTGTAAATAGCCGATTAAATAGATGCAAATGTACACAATGTACCGTGGAATTACCGGGTGCCACTCTGGGCACCTGCCAAGAACAGCTACTGCATGGAGGGGAGGAGGGAGCAAAAAAAAAAAAAAAGTGGTTCCATTTTGCTTTCTGAACAATGAATGAGACTTTGGGGATTTCAAAATACTTCCAGCGCCCGGGAGACTACTCCTTGTTTTTGGCTCTGTGCTTAAATGGTAGATATTTTTGTCAAGTATTGCCGGCTTGTTTCTTAAAGGCAGTTTTTCCTCTATGAAAAAGAGAACAATGCTAGGAACATTAGTACCACACACTTCCAGGAATTTCAGCCCCTTTGACTATTTTAGAAAGGGGAGGGCCCTGGACCAGAAGTTAGGAGACTTTGAGTCCTGGTGCTGCTTACCTGCAGAGGTGTCTTGGGAGCCCAGCCAGCCAGCCTGAATTCCTCCAGGTTAGAGGCTTAGTCTACATTGACATAAGGTCCTTGGGGCTTAGGCTAGACCATTCAGGTTCTCTGGCTCAAGCAAGACACCCTCTAGCTTAGTCTAGACCTCTCTGAAGTCTCTTGGCTTAGGTTTGACCTCCTTAAAGTCCTCCCGTGCAGATACTGGGAGTTCAAGGCTAAACAGAGAAGGTGTACCTGCAGAGGAAGATGAAAGAGCCACTTTAGGTTACATCATTTTCAAACATGAACCACAGAAACAGGATTTTATATCTGATTTTTTAAAAGCTATCATTTACTGAGCTCGGTCACTCACTGGTTTTGAATTATATATTTTTTCTTATTTAACCTTTTTACATATCACCTCCCCCCTTGCATATTATACTGGTGCACTAGAACATACCAGATACTTCCCCAGTTTCCGGTTGATTTTCAGGGGTGAATACAATGCTGAAAGCTAAAGAAAGCACCAAAAATACTTCATTCTCTTACTCAAAGGGGGTGAGGCAGGGTTGGGAGGCTAGAAGAAATCTCCTCTCCAGACGCACAGAAGACACAGGTTCGTGGTGGGTGGGTACGTGTGGGAGTGAAGGAGAGGGGAGGAATCATGTTGCAAGTGTCCAACTGTCCCCTTGGTGCTGTGAGGTTTTCCCAGCCTAAGCACCCAAACTGTCAAGCACTCCCTTTCTATCTACTACCTTGAGAACACCTGAAACCCTGCCTACGGCCCCCATCAGTGAAGCAGAGAGGTCCTCCGGACCTGCAAGAGGCAGGGACAGGAAGGGAGCACGGTCCCTCTAGCAAAGTTAGTAGTGATGGGGGGGGGGTGAACTACCAGAGGACCTTCACCAGATCTGCACATGACTCAGGCAGCAGCAGGGACACAGTTCCATCCCTCTTCCCCCACCATTCATTCCTGCTGGCTCCGGGCCCAAAGCTAGGGCAAAATGTTTTTATGACTCTCTTAAGATCCACTTGTACCTTTACAAATCATGTTGTGTATATTTCAAGTCTCCTTCTCTAGACGGACTGATTCTTATTTATGGTCCTAGAACACAACACAGTGCCTGGTACAGAATGTGGGTTAAGCATTGTCAGCAATGATTTTGCAGATAGGAATATTCTGTTTTATATAAACAGTGCTGAGTCTTTCTCACAGACTGGATTCTCCTCCTGTGTTTTGGCAAAGTGCTTTGTTTCAGTTCAAATCTGAAGAGCATTTTTGAGTTGTTCTACTTTCCCACATCGACTGGCCCCAAATCTGCTTCCATCGCATTCTTTCCCACAGTTTTCTTCATTGAGAGTTGATTTCATAAAACTCTCTTTCTTATTGGCTTTCCACCAGTTTCCCCTGTCGTACTCTGTCCCCACCAATGTGGTCATGGGCTAGAAAATCAATAAAACTCTTAATCACAAACAATGTGCAGCAGCAGCAGCAGCAGCAGCAGCAGCAGCAGCAGCGGTGTGGCTCAGCTCCTAACTTGGCAGCTCCCAGTGAGACAGAACGAGCTCTACCAGGGAGGAACAGGACTGCACAGGACATCCAACATCTAGGCTGGGTGAGACTTGCTTTCGTGTTCACATCGAGAGTGACTTTTTTTTTTTTTTTTTTTCCCTGTCTCTGGTCTTGAATCAGGAGGAGGGGTGACTTTTCTAAGCTGCTCTGGCTTAGTTTCCATTGCCTCCAAGGCTGGATTCCTTCTCTTCATACCCAGCTTGGGAAACATAAGTCCTTCTTCCACTGCAGCAAGCAGTCAAAATACTGAGTTAATTTTATTCATTCTACCACCCCTGTCTTTCCCTGGAGAAGGCTGGTGCTTACATACAAGACTGATATAACTTTTGCAATAAATATATTTTTACAAGCTTCTTGTATTTTATGCACCTTCCTACATTTAGGGGAAACAATTCTGTCAATTCGCTGCTATGCATGCTAAGCGAATTGTGAAACAACTAGTGAATGTGGAACTTGTGTGGGATTCACTACTGTTGGCTGTTACTGACTCTTCATCCTGCCCGCTGGCAGGGACTGGAGGGGCCCAAGCAGTCTTCTGGGTCTCCATGTATTTGGGAGGGAGGAGCCTCTGAGACCTCAGCGGTAGGAAGTTGCATCAGGGCCTCTCCAGGTGGCCTGGTGACTTTATGGTTGTTGACCTGGCTCTGGTTTCCACCACTTGCTTACACCACCAGCAGGAAGACAAGGATAGAACTAGTGAAAGAGCTTTTAAATAATCATCAAGTCTCGTTTTGCACTACTCACTACTTCACAAGATTTTTTCCCACCAAATTAGCCAGTTTGATTGAGTTTTTACTGTTTTGGTTCCACCAAGAACGAGCCAAGCAACTGGGCAATTTAGTTCTCAGGGCCTTCGTTTTCCCATTTGTAAATGAGGAGTTGGGCTACATAAATTCGAAGCTCAAACTTTCTCTGTCACCTTTTCTGGAGGAAAGGTAAATAGAGCCTGAGGAGCCCCAGGAAAAGGCACATAAAAAGGAAATGGGAAGAAGCCAGGGCAACTCTAACAAACTGAATACTCAAGTCCTCTCACTTTAATGGCTCTATCTGGGCAGGCAGGTGAGGGGAGAACCTTTATCTTGACTCTAGGGAGGGAAGCATGGAAGTTTTAGGAGAACCAAAGTTCCTGGGTTCTGAATCACTGAGTCACTAATCAAGTGGTTAACTGTGTTAGTGACAACTGCAGAAACTGGAGGGAGGGGCTGGGAGAGGAGCAGTGAGGAGGAGACCGGTGGGGGAGGAGATGGGGATGAAAGGGAAGCGTTTGCAGTTTGTAGAGCACTGGGAAGAGCAGGGACATCAAGGGCACCAAATAAAGGTTCAGGGAGCAAAGAAAGAAATGGAGAAAATTCATTCTGCTGGAAATAGACATGACTGCAGTCAGGAAGAAGACTTACAGATTCAGGGTGACCTGATTTGATTACAGCAACAGGAAGTGCAGGAGAGAGAGAGGGCAGAATAACCTGACCTAAGGAAGTGAATTAAATAATAGAGAAGACACCACAGTTGCCATGGTATTAAAATACCTCATGCCACATTAAGCTTCCTCTTTCTCTTTTGCTTGATTCTTGTTTTTGCAACATGTTAATGTCATTGCAGTGTATCCAGTAAACTAAATTTAGACTTTCTGGGGCGGGTGGGGGGAAGGGAAGATGCAGCCCAGATCTCCCTGTTTGGGTCGACTCTGGGCCAATATTGTTCCTTCACAGAGTTCTTGGGGTTTTTTGCATTATGGGATATGAAAACTTTTATGTCAGGCTTGGGCCTGGTGAAGCTGCTGAGTGAAATGATTTAAAAAAAAAAAAAAAATGAGGCCAGGTGTGGTGGCTCATGCCTGTAATTCCAGTGCTTTGGGAGACAGAGGCAGGTGGATTACCTGAGGTCAGGAGTTCAAGACCAGCCTGGCCAACATGATGAAACCCTGACTCTACTGAAAATACAAAAATTACAAAAATACAAAAATTGGTGGTGCATGCCTGTAGTCCCAGCTACTCGGGAGGCTGAGGAAGAAGAATCACTTGAACCTGGGAGGCGGAGGTTGGAATGAGCCAAGATGGCACCACTGCACTGCACTCTAGCCTGGGCCACAGAGTGAGACTCTGTCTCAAAAAGTAAAAAATAAACACACACACACACACACACACACACACAAAAGAAACACTGGAAATAGTTTTCAAAGAGGCATCTGTTTCAGAAATTACTTCAGAAAAACAATAGGATTGCAGAAATTTGAAAAATAAAGACAGCCACCAACAAAACCAAATGTGTTTTCTTAGGTATTATTTTCTCTAACTGCTTTTGAAAAATTACTGGGCTAAAATTAAGATGATTGGGTCCTGCAATTGGTAGTCTGCAAAAGTGGACATTGCAGAGGGCAGGTACATGGTACACTCTTTTGACACTACCATACCCAGGATGGGCAGAGGAGTATTTCCAGCTGACCTATTTACCACAAATCTCACAACATTCATCAAGGGTCAGCTCTTGACCTTCCTCGAGTGGACTCACATTAACTAGACACTGAGAGACAGAGATGTATACCTGAATGATGATGGACAGATCAGAATACTCACATCGTCAGGGCACAAGGTCTCTCTATGTAAATAAATGCACTTGAGAAGACAAATTCCATCTGAAAGTTTGCTTAGTTATCTGGAGTAGAATGAATGACATTCGTTGTGTGGTCGACAAGACAAATACTCCTGATACAGTGTTCTGAAAGAATGAGGTTGCCCACCCTTCCCACTCACCCCTGCTTAGATGGCCCTCTGGCTTCTGAGGCTTCAAGCTTCTTTCCCCGTGCTCTAGTTTCTTCAAACCTGTTTCTCCACACAGCATCCTGTACAGCCCACTAGGCAGATTTACACTCTCTAAGTCATAATGACATTCTCTATCTTCCTGGCATTATAGCCAAGTCACTTTAATGGGAATTTGAGGTAATCCTCAAACTTTTCAGTCACAAATTGAGTCACTCTCTTGGTTTATGCCCACTGAATTCTAGCCAAAACCATTGGGTGTGCAGATTTTGGTAGTCAAAGTTTCTGAGAGCAACCTAGTTCTC